GGAGGGTTTGGGGGCACTCCCTCGGCACTGAGCCTCCGTCAGTGCCCGCTCCCTCAGTACTACACCTGGAATGTTTGTCTGAATTACAGGGTACTCAGTCTCTCAGTGGGGAGGGGGTCTTCCAAACCATGGCTGAGGAGCGAGACTCAGGCAGAGAGGCTGTGGGAGTGGGGCACAAAGGACCTTTGCAGGGGCCTTGTTCGATGAGACAGCACTAGCCCCTTTGTCAAGCAAAAATGTTTGAGCCTCGATATCTGATTTCCTGTGTCAAAATACTTTGAAATTCACGCTGGTGTTGCAATAGTGCAGAGAGATAAACACGACCATCGACTTCCTACCACTGCTGTCTATCTTGCATCTTTGCTGCTGTGCCTCTGTACAGAGGAACACATTTGAGAGGTTATATTCGGTTTCACTGCGCTAGAGAGCACAGTTTTCTGGTTAAGTTGGAAACCATCCTTGGAATGCTCTCTTCCACGGTTATCTCACTCTCTCACACACACACATACGGCCTCGGGAACATATAAACAACACAAGTCCTGTAGTCTGACACGTCCCTGCTCTGTTCTATAGAATGGACAAACAGGAGGAGCTTCACTGTCATGTCTGAAGTCTTAACAACATGACTCACGCCCGAACAAAAGCCTCTGATTTTCCCATTCCCCACCCTTCTTCCCCTCCCCAAACACTCATGACAGGGCTGATGTGCTTTGGACTGAACACAGTCCCTATGTTTGCTTAAGTCTGAGAACATTGCAAACAGGGAGGAAAACATTCGGGAGCGTGAAACGGCATGTAGATACAGTCATTGGGACGTACAGCACGGACCCAGACCCTTCGGCCCAGCCCGTCTGTGCTGACCCAGACATCCTAAATTAATCTAGTCCCATTTGCCAGCATTTGGCCCCTTTCCCTCTAAACCCTTCCTATTCACATCCCCATCCAGATGCCTTTTAAATGTTGTCATTGTACCAGCCCCCACCCCTTCCTCTGGCAGCTCGTTCCATCAACCCTCTGCGTGAAAATGTTGCCCCACAGGTCCCTTTCCCCTCTCACCTTAAAAACCTTTGCCCCTCTCGCATCATCAAGTGGGCAAACAAAAATGGGGCAAACGATGCACAGTGAGGGCAAATGTGAACTTGACTATCATTGTGGAAAGTACAGGAAAGCAATATGCTATTTAAAAGGAGGAAGATTGCAACTACTTTGAGGCAGACAAGGATCTGGGTATCCTGGTACTTTTTCAGATTCATTCACACGGACTAGGCCAATGTTTGTCACCCATCCCTGACTGCCCCTTGAGAAGGCGACAGTGACGATAGAGGGAAGGTCATTGAGGAAGCAGCTGAAGACGGTTGGACCTAGGGCACTACCCTGAGTATAAAAATAGCGAGGTTGTCTTAAAACTGCTCAAGACACTTCCTATTTAGCCCACAGCTGGAGTGCCATGAACTGGCTTGCCTGGCATGTGCGAGGTGCAGAATGTGGCTTGGCACTTGCCATCCCAAGCCTAGATACTGTTGTATTTGGACAGGGCACTGCTTCAGGAGTAGCAGATGGCGACTGAACAGTGTGCAATCATTGGCCAACTCTCCAATGTCTAACCTTACGATAGAGGGAAGGTCATTGGGGAAGCAGCTGAAGAAGCTGAAGATGGTTGGGCCTAGGGCACTACCCTGAGGAGCTCCTGCAGAGATGTCGCGGAGCTGAGATGAGATGAGTGACCTCCCACAACCACAACCTCCTCCTTATGTGCCAGGTCTGACTCCAACCAGCAGAGAGTGTGCCCAGATTCCCATTCACTCCGGTTTCATTTGGGATCCTTGATGCCAATCTAGCCTTGATGTTACAGGCAGTCACCCTGACCTGTGGAATTTGACTCTTTGGTTTGGTCTATATTTGAACCCGGCTGTAATAAGGGCAGGAGCTCTATGGCCTTTGAACACTAATGCTGATTAATGGCACCTCCACATCGCCTTATGGATCATTAAGAGTAGATGGGGCAGTAACAGGCGGGTCAGATGTGCCCAGGACATATCAGGGCAATTCTCCCACGTTTTTGGGTGGATGTCAGCAGTGTAGTTTGGCTAGGGGAGTGGCAATTTGTAGAGCACAAGTCCTCAGTACTATCGCCTGAACGTGGTCAAGGCCCATAGCCTTTGCAGTATCCAATACCTCCAACGGTTTCCTGATAGCATGTAGACTGAATCGAATGGGCTGAAGACTGGCATCTGTAATGCTAGGGAACCACTGGAGGAGATGGAGGTGGATCATCTATGCTGTTGAAGGTTGCTTTGAATGCTCCAGCCTTATCTTTTGCACTGACAGGCTGAACTTCCTTTGTTATTGAGAATGCAGATACTTACAGAGCCTCCACTGCCACAGAACTGCTGTTTCCTTCATGACTGAACGTGGCAGGACCACAGAGCTTAGATATGATACACATTGTGGGATTGCTTAGCTCAGTCTATCGTTTGCTTGACAAGGCAGCGGTCTGTTTTGGAGCTCATTTGTAGGATGCCTGGTGCTGCTCCTGGTACGCCTTCCCACTGACACTAGCTGGAGTCAGAATATTCAGATGCAAGCTAGTCTCTTGGGAGGGGGGGGAAAAAAGGTATGAGGCAAATGGAAATTTGTAATCCTCTCCAGGCTGCAGGTGGGTGGTGGAAAACAGGTGACCAGAAATGACAGCTGATCACTCAGTGACAGTTACTCATGCACAGACTCAGCCAGATGCGCAGTGTCTCAATTTCACATTTACATGTTTCAGACTTGAGTATTTCCCAAGTCATTCATAGTCTTACAAGCATCACTCATCCACAGTCGCAAACACCACTTGCACGCACACACAGCCCTCCTAACCAAGTCTCTTGAAAGTGGACTCTTGAAAATGGAGGTACTTGAATTTGTAAATGCCATTAAAACTAGGATTAGCCTTTGAGCCCTATTAAGGCCACACAAACAGCATTGTCACAGGACAATCACCAACAAGACAAATGATTCACCCATGCATGGTTAAATGTCACAATGCTGGTGAGTGCCGGCTAAACTCATCACTCCCATTTGTTATGGGATGGAATCATTTGAAGATTGCAGAAATGAAACAGAAATGAAAGGCTAATTCCACTTGACCTCAAATGCAACAAGCCACATTATGAAAGCTGCCATCCCCCATTTTACAACTGGAAATGAAGTGTTCACATTTCTGTACTTTTCACAGCACCTCTCAGGCAATGGAACAGTGTTGACACTGTAGGAACTACAGACAGAATCTGCTGCCCACAGACACCTGCTTTAAGTATCAGCAGTTGAGAGATATACTGGTTGCAGGAGCAGCAAGGCTAACAATTGAGATCGATAGCTGGAAGTGACAGTGGGGCATTACCTTCAGGACTTATGCTCAAGCCCTGGAAAGCAACACCAGTTTGAACCTGGAACCCAAGGAAAGACAACGAAAGAGCCATCAGCACACAGAATGCAATTCATTAGTCTGGAGTGCAAGACAAATACAATTTGGCATTGGGTGGACAGATACATAGCAGTCCTATGGTTTTTTCCTTTAAAATTCATTGATGGGATGAGAGACACTGAATGCCACCACTTATTGCCCAGAGGGCAGTTAGGAGTCAACCACATTGCTGTGGGTCTAGAGTCACTTGCAGACCAGACTAGGTAAGGATGGCAGTGTCCATCTCTAAAGGGACATTAATGAACCAGGGGTGCTCTTCTGACAAGATGCATGGTCATCAGACTCTTAATTCCAAGTGTTTCAATTCAAGTCACATCAGCAGCTGTGGCAGAATTCAAATCCAGGTCCCCAGGATGTTATCCAAGTCTCTGAATTAACAGTTGAGCAATACATGACTAGGCCATTGCCTTCCCTTGTATAAGGACTGTCTTGGAGGACAGTAACTGAGCTCAACTGCACTAGGAACAGAGTCAGGGTCAAGAATTGGCCAACTCATGAGTTTGCTAGGTGTCCCATTGGCCATGGGGCAGCAGACAGCACAAGGATTGATCAAATGGAAGAGGTAGACAAGAGGCAGATTTCCCCAGCCCCAATGTTGGGCTGGGAGGCGTTCCAATTCCAGCTGCTCTACTTCCCAGCAAAAACATTCACATCACCCACACAGGTACACAAGATAGTGCTGCAGCTAGTAATTGAGAGAAGGTCAGCAACTATGTACTTGGCAAAAACCCCAACTTTCTCAGAACTGCAGCTGAAATATAGTTCCAGGAAACACCAAGCTGCCTGCCCATGACAGCACTAAGTGTGGAGATCCTGTATTCTTAGAAGTGTTCTTTCCTTAGCTCTACTTTGCCATTGCAGTTCACACTGGCTTACTAGAGAGGTTGGAGCTTTTTGGTCTGATTTAGCCTTTGGTTTAATCAGCAAAGCACTTGTGCAAGGAATCTCAAACCTATATAGGCTTGAGACCACAACTGTAATGTTGTCTAGTTTCATGAAGGATTGGCACAGCAGGCTATTTGGCCCCTCCACCACCAACCTTCACCTCACCTACCAAGCATATTGTTTTATTCTGGAGTGCCAGCCGCTTCAGGACATCTGTCTTGACCACTCAGTTTCTTGACAACTTGTTAGCACCAGTCATGTCACTGCACTAGTAAAGTTGAGACCCAGGCTAATGCACTGAGGACTGGAGTTCAAATGCCAACACAGCCAGTGGTGGAATTTAAATCTGATTAATATTTAAAGCCCCTCCCAACAGTATCTGAAAATTAAACCAAAAGAACTGAGAATGCTGGAAGCCAAACAAAACTGAACAGATTGCTGGAAGGGCTCAGTAGGCCTGTCAGCATCTGAGGAGATAAGTTAGTGTTTTGGGTTCAGTGACCTTCCTCAGAACTGTGCCTGAAGATTGTTTATTACAGATAGGTTGAAAGGCTTGTTTGATGTAATGACTAGTGTTGGAGTGGGAAAGCAATGTGTAAACATTAGGGTGCCTGAGTGCAAGTGTACAGAACAAATGACAAAGCAGTTTTCTTTCAAAAATACTTTAATTTATTATAAAGCTGCCATTTTCCAACTTGAGTGAATTCCATTAACTGGCAGTGGCTACTGACTAAGTGGCTCCACAGTGCTGAGCACCCGGTATGGTATTAATGCAACCTTCACTTAAGACATGTAAACTTCGGGGAAAGCAATGGGAAGCAGGGTAAATAAAAACCAAATCAGGGCCACTGCTGTGGAATCTGTGCTTTAAAATAATCAAAAACATTCACAAAACTTCCTGTGCACTAGACTAAACATTTCACCACTGAATTCTCTCCCTCCCCACCACCCCCTGACCTGCACATTATCAATCAGCAGGAACAGAGTTGAGTTTAAAACAAAGTTGCTGATAGTTCCTCATTTAAATAAAATCTTCCGGAGCTGAGAAGGGACTGCCTTGCCAGTAAACATGAGATTTGACAGCCAAGTTAATATATACAGGATAAATACAATTGCACAGTGCACAACTGAATCCAGTGGACATGCTGGCCAGCACCTTCTGTAAGGGACTATGACTCCTTCTGTCTCTTCCATAAACTTCCCCTCCCCCACCCCCTTTAACCCTTCAGTAACACCACAGCCAGCCACAGGAGAAAGTTTGAATGGCCAACACCTGTGTCTGGAACAGGCCTCAATCTCAAGTAGGGCCAAGGGACTCAACACAAGTGAAACCAAGTCCAGATTATTTGTGAAAATACTTACAGGGCACAAACAAAGTGGCTTTGGAAAGATTTAAAAAGGAATGTTAATCTTAAAATAAACCAAGCTAAGAAAATGGGGGCATGAGAAAGATCACCAGTCAAAGCAGATTTACAGCCTTTCTCAATATTTAAACATTGAGACAAAAGCAGCACAACTGCAGGATCAATATCCACTCAAGTAAATGGATGTCAGTTGCTAATCAAATGCACCAACTTCTCTCTCTGGCTGCACAAAGGGTCAGGGATTGAGAGCTGCCAGAGGTCACTATTGGCTGCATCAGAACAGACCAGATCCAACAGTGCACCCTCAACTGAGGGTAAGAATCCATCCATCCTCTACACTGTCCCAAGTGAACTCCATAATTACTGGCAAGGGAGCCCCCAATGGAGAGAGAGCTAGGTGCCAGGAGCAACTCTGCTTTCTGCAGGATTATTTTACACAGGGTCTGAAGTGAATCAGCATACATTGGTCTATCCTGGAGGAATTATATATCTATTACACAAAATCAAAGTATTTATTCAGTATCAGGATTAAACAGTCTGACTTGAGGAGCTATATTATATATTAGAGCTGACTTTACATTCTCCTGCTCCCACACACCCCCCTGACTATCACCACTCTAGGTGCACTTATACCAGGTCTCACCACAGCCCTCCCTTCCACCCCAAATTCCTATCAGCAGCCCTTTCAAAACTTGGGAAAGCAGAGTGAGGGGAGAATGAGGGTCTGGAGAGACAATGCTGAAGTGGAGGTCTTTTCCATGTCCAACTCAGGTTTGAGTGCGAAGCGATGAGAGAGTCAATGCAGCACAAGATCAGGGATTTCAGAGTCCCCAACACTGTTCGTTGATTTTAAAAGTTCCCGGAGTCCTTAAAACAGCATGAAAATGCAAACTGTAGTCTCAGGGCTCCACACATGTGCCAAAGTGTACAACACAGGATTCCATCACTTCCCAATTCAGAGGCCAGTACACTGTGACTTGATGGCCCTCCTATTCCAACATTGTGAAGGGCCTGCTCCTTCAGTCCTGCTCCCCCCTCAGTTTACCACCCCCCCCAGTCATCTCAAAGGCTGCTCCCAAATGGAAACTGGTCAGTGGGACTTGGGCCCAGCAGTGTCCTTGACCAGGATGGGAGAGAGTGAGTAAGGGGGGAGCAGGGGGAACAAAGCATAACTGGGCCCAGAGCAGTGTCCTGTTGCAGGAGATGAAGGTCAGGATTCACCTCAAGAGATGCATGATGCTTGCCCCAGCAATACCAAAACCAGCAATCCACATTAATGCTTTCTTTGCTGACTCTTCTGCATTGTTCTCGTGGAAAAATTTAGTGAAGCCATCCTGAGGGAGGAACAAACAAGACAGGAATCAGAAAGTGGGTAGGTTAACCATGCTCTTTCCACTTGTCTCAGCTGCTTCTACCACCACCATTTGCCTGCAGTCCCACTCCCCAGACAGAAAGTGCAATATAAAAGGAATTCACCTATACAATTGAAAACACTGAGGTAATGCAGCTACAATGACTTGAACAGTGACAAGCACAGGACAATCCTATACAGCAGTCTTGCTTTCCTATTTGGCAAGCCCACAGGAGACAACAACTTGTCCCAAACCCCACAGGTGGATTTTCTTGAGAAAATTTCAAGCAGGCACTTAACTTTTTGCCTTGTAATTCAATCCAGGTTATAAACCAGATATTTGTCACCTGAAACCAGTGAAGTAGACACTACCATGAGCAACAAATTTCCCAATTCTCTCCATGAGCTGCCCAGCTGATGAATCACTTCACTGAAACCAGCAACAGCTTCATTGTGCGTTCAAAGTACACAATGTCCCAGTGATGTAGCACCTCAGGCATTTACAAGAACTCAGCTTGAGGAAATTTGTCAAGTAGGGGCCCAATGTGCTGGCCCCCCACAACCCAAACCAGGTGTCAGCCATGGTCACTGATGTGCCAAGCAGAATGCCACATGTACCTGACCAACATGCCCTCAACCAGAACCTTGGGAGGGTTCAGGGGAGGGGGGAATTGTGACCTTGTTAGGACATAATCATACAACAGCTCATGAATCAAAGGTGATTTGGCCCTCCTACTTGAAACTCAGCCAAAAGATTTATATATCTTGCATGCACATAAAGCAGCAAGAATCTCAGGGCCAGCTGATGACACTCTGGGCAAAGTTCAGCCAGGATGTGCTGACTCATGCTTAGGCCAGTGACTGGAAGTGAGAGGAGAATAGGGCTTATCCTTACCCAGCCATTATGAGTCTCTAGCCACCCCCTCTTGTGTTGCGTCAGGTATTGAGAGATTTGCACAGCCACTTCATCAATGCAGTCCTCACGTTGGATCTTCTTTAGGTGATCGCCCATCACGGCCCCAAAGGCAATGAAACTCACCACCCGGCCCCAGTTCACCTCACCATCACTGAACATTTCAGTGGCAACCCTCGAGATAGTGTCCAGGTCCCTCTTTTCAGAGATATTCAAACGATTTATCATTCCTGTGGTAAGAAGAGGAGAGGCACTGTCAACAATGCAGCAAACCGAGTACCTTGCAATTAAGTCCTCAAGGACATCCTGCTGCTTGTGCACTACAGGAATATTTAGATATTTATTCAGACACCACATCTTGACATTTACAAATCCTATCAGTTCCCTGCCTCACCCCCCCCAACCTCAGCTTTACAAATATGCTCTGTGGAAACTACCAGCAGAAACAAACCTGTCAACAAGCTTATGATGCCACTTTTAAAAGGAAAAAAGAACCGAGTACACACAAACCTTTGAAGATGTAAAAGGCGCAAAGTGATCAGGAGTTCAAAGCCAGAAGGTTAGGCCAAAACCCAACAGGCCCCAGCTTACCCAATTCCAGAGCTTGCTCTTTGGGTCAAGGGAGATTTAATGCTAAACCCTGTTGAGCACTTTTGATCAGGAGAATGAGGAAAAAAAGTGATTGGGCCATTCAGCCCAAGCCTGCTTCATGTGATGTGGCTTAGTTTCCTACTGATCCCTGTCAGGCAAAAGTTTAACCAACTCATTCCCACTGCTGCCAGGGAAACAGCTCCACAGATTGAGCAACAAACTCACCTCCACTTTAAAAGAGGCCTTTAATTCTGAAACTGCCACCAACAGCTCCCCTACCCATTCCTCAAGAGATCCCTCCACATTGACCCTGCAAAGTTCCATTAAACTGATAGTTGGAGAGACTGTTGGGATCCAGAATGCACTGCCAATGTCAAAACAGTAGTAGCATATTAATATTTACATAAAACCAGATATGCTCTTATGACCTCCAAAGTACCGAAAATCTACATCAAGCCTTTCTTCAGGTGGACAGGGAGTGTACTGTTCAAAAGGTCTTTCACTGATCACCTTGCAAATCAACAGCAGGTGGAGGTGGCTGAGTTAGCAGCTGCTGAGACCATTAAACAGGAATGCAAAAGCTGTCTTATCTTGCTGAAAGGAGGATCAATTAGAGATTAGGTAAGGATCATCAACACATTGGGATTCCTACTAAAATCTATTAACCCAACTGCTGGTAGAGTGCATAGAGGATTGGTACCAGGCTGACATGAGGGTTTACGAGCAACCAGGGTCCAGAAGTTAATGTTCTGGAAAGACAGGGACACCAATGCCCAGGACAGAGCCTCAGTCAACAAACAAAATGGCAGGGGTTTTAAACACCTGCTGCACTTTCCTTTAATAAGTAGTTTGGGCAAACAGACAAGGGCAGGGAGGTTACTCAACCAGGAGATGAACCACCCAGCATAGGGAACCCTTGACTCCTGAGAAAGGACACCAGGAGTGCCATTGCTCTAATACATGAGAGCAGACATTCCAGACACTGCTCAATTGTGTTGTGAACACACCCAGAACAATGAATCCCCAGTCTGCAGGAAGATTTAAACCAGGCTTGCTAAACTGGTCTGACCCTACAGAGGCATTTGAGACTAACTGGGAACTCTGGTTTGTCCAGAAGTCTGTTTATAGCAGTCCTCTAAGCAAGGAATTAATCCCATCAAGCAGAACAGATTTGCCAAATTTAATTAATTCACTTCCTTCCAGTTTCTGGGAGGGGGCCAGGATTGAGAAAAGGGAGAAAGTGTTGTGTAAAACCACTTGTTCCTCATGTGGAATGCACCTTGTCTCCATACGTATGGAGTGGAGAAAGTAAACCAGGGCCACACATCCACTAGACTCAAGTACTGAAGGGAGGCTGGGCATAAACAGTTTTGCAAGGACCAGTTTTAGCATGGCCTAAATGAGATTACTTTCTTCTCCCCTCCTTCAGACTGCTCCTGTCAGGCACTGTTGGAAACAAGTTCAGTTCAATCTCCACAGCACCACATCCTTGCTGCTGACACCACAAGTATCAGAAGATAGGATATCAGACACCACACCCACAGAACTCAGCTCAGCCAAGTAACTCCAGTCATTGTTTACCACCTCCCTAAACAAATTAGGGACCCCATGCTCCAGTAGGCAGCTATTTCAAGCTTCTTCAGCAAGGAAGCTTCTGGAAAATCAAGTCCTTAGTGGGCAGAAGCCATACCCCACGGGGGGTCTAGAGGGCAATCCCAGGCAATCTGCCAACTGCACCACAGCAGAAAACAGAGGCCAAGGCCATGAACCAACAGATTGAGGGCTCAGCTGCAGACCTCACAAAGGGGACTCTACCTTAACTGTCACAGCTGCTTTGCATACTGGCTTACCATGGTGCTGCTAAGACAAAGAAGTCACAAAGCTCCTTTGTGAGCTGTGTTATTGTGCTGTGACTCCTCTGTTGCAGACCACTGGTTGCAGTCTTAGAATCTAAGCAGCTTGCCCAAGCTGCTCAGGAGACCACTGTACTGGTCTTAATCAGAATCAAATTGTCCCTTTGAAACAAACCACCCACACTAAACAGCCCCTATCATCTCTACATTGCCGTGTCAGATTGCAGCCCAAGATGTCAAATACCTTCTCACCAATATTAAAGACAAGGGTAGCCTAGTGAGTTAACCATTGCCTCAAAGATTCTCTCTAAAGAAAACTGAAACACATCCAAGATAGACTAAAACCCAAAACATTAATGTTCACTTTCTGAACATGTGCATTTGTTTCTAGATCAAACTTGACTAAGAACAAAGTATTTCTGCTGTAGAGGGGAATGGGTGGACCTGCTCTTAATCTGATCCCTGCTTTGTATTTGTTTGAGGAGGTGCAAATAGAAAATGCTGGAAAGAACATCAGCTGACATCCAAAAGGGATCTGACATCTGTGATCCTATCCTCCCGCTGGGAAAGGTGTTACCCTGACTGCTGATCTGGAGGATTCCAAAACCACTAGAGGACAGGGGCATCTGCACCATTGCAGAACCAAAAAGCCATCTTTCCATTGTGAAAAAGATGGAAAATGTTGGAAAGATCCAGGCTGTTTACTGGGGATTGCTGCACACAAGTAATGTCTGGATGAGAACAGAATTTAACATACAAAACAAACAAGGCCTTGAAAAACACTGCTCCAGCAAGGTCAAATGTAAAAACAGATCTTAGAATAGCTGTGTGTCAGGTTATGCTAATTACCCATTGATAAGCTAGTTAAATCCCCTCTGACTTCCCCTAAACTTCTGACACTAACTGGAAATGACTAGCAAGATACCAAGCCAAACGAATCCTCAAACAGCAACAGGCAAATTTCTGGGAAACCAAGTTAAATACAACCTTGGGCAAAACAGTCAATGATTCAAACAACAAAACAGACACTTAGAAAGGCACTTCCCAAAGGGGCCAATCCACAAGCCACCTACCACATCTGTCTTTGCAACTAAGCAAGAGACTGAAAACAGCAAGACTTGCACCAATTACACTGAAGACATGGAAACCATTTGAGAAACATAAGCAGACAGATTAAAAAGGAGGGTGTGGGCTGGTGGTGGGTGGGGGGGAAGGGGCAATAAAACCACAGCTGATATTCAAAGTTGCAAATGCACCCAGAAATACCAAGGGGTGCAAAAAGACTAATCACTGGGGAGTACCTGAGTCCCTTTGTGTTATAACTTTCTGCCTTCCCTCCCTCTTTAACATTGTTCTTTTGTTCTCCCTTCCAAAGTGATGAATTTCTCATCTTATAATCCATTTGCCAACTTCCTTGAGTGGGAGCACAGAAACAGGCCCTTTGTCCAAACTCAATCACCAAGTTTCCCAAACTAACCTAGTCCCACTTGCCTGCATGTGGACCATATCTCTGAACACTATCCATATACCTGTCCACATGTTTTAAATGTTGTCATTGCACCTACAATATGGGGCATGGAAAGAGAAGGAAAAACAAAAGGGAAGATGGAAACAAAAGGAAGTAAAGAGGCAAAACAAGAGAAGGGAGGGAAACCACCAGACAGTAAATGGTTGAAGGGAGGAAGGTGATGACATGGCAGGATCAAATGATTTGTGGGTGGTTGGGGCAGCACCAGGACCACCATCTCCCACCACCAAGGCAGATACAATGCACTCAAACACTGAAATTGGTACAGCCACCAGGGTAATATAGATAGATTAGACACCAACTTCTAGCTCACACAATAGAAACAGATGCACCCACAATACCATAAGCATGCAGGAGAAACCCCAAACCCCCAATCACTGATATTTTTGTACAATAGTTTTAATACACAGACAAGTACAATAGAAAGTCAACGGCCCCCCCCCCAACCACACCCAACTGGGGGCACCACAAAACCAAGGTCCACAAGCACAAAGGTAGAACATATGCCCAGTTGCCCCCTCTCCCCCCACTGCCGTGTCCTACGCATGCCCAGTTGCCCCCTACGCATGCCCAGTTGCCCCCTCTCCCCCCAACTGCCGTGTCCTACGCATGCCCAGTTGCCCCCTCTCCCCATTTCCCCAGTCGGTAACCCCGGAGATATTTTTTAAAAAAACAGACTCACCCCTAAAGGCGGTGCCGTGTTTCTCAATCAGTCGGTCCCCGATCCTTTGCAACGTCTCGGCCGCCTGGCGGTCGTCGTCTCCTCCGCCGTCTCGGAGGCAACCGAGCCAGCTGGGGCCGCCGCCCGCCGAAAGCGGCGGAGTCGTCGTCGTCGTCGTCTGCTGCGGCTTGACGTGCGATCGGATGAAGCCCCGCACCAGCGCGTAAGTCCTACCATAGAAAGGGTCCTCGGGGAAAAGGTGGCGACTGTCCAGCTCGTCTTCGACCGGGCTGGCCCCGCCGTCGGGGGTCTGGGGTAAGGAGCCGTCGGCGGCTCCCGGCAAGAGGCGGGGTGGGTTGCAGGCGGCCCGGGACGCCGGCGTGCAATAAAGATTGGCGTGGAGCTGCAGCAAGGCGCTGTTGGAGCTTCGGTTCAAGGCCAGCATCGTCTGTTCCATCGTCGTCGTCTGCCCCAAAATGGCGTCGGCAGAAAGAAGAACGAAACAAAATTAAAAGAAAACCGTCAGCTCGATCTCACTTGAGGCGCAGCCCCGCCGCTGCTCTTTTATAGTCGACACGCCGCGTTGCGTGCGTCAGAAGGTGGCCAATCGACGTCCGCGGAGGCCGGTCAATCACCGCCCGCCCCGCCCCCACCATCCGCCGGGACGCCTGTCAATCAGCATCTGGTCCCGCCCCCTCGTCCAATCAGTGTTTTCACCCCCAAACCCCGCCCACCCCGTTCCTTCCTTATTGCCCTCCTGAATAGTTTCGAAAAATGCCAATCAAAGTGGGTGCTGGTCGTTTAACCCTTGCAGTCCTGGGATCATTCAGTTGAGTCTGCACACTGCTCTCCCTCCAATCTGTGTTGTTTATTCACTCATGGGGCATGGGCTTTTTCTTTCCTCTATTCATTCACAGGATGAGGGCAGCATGTATTGCCCCATCCCTAATTGCCCCAGCTCAGAATCAATCACATTGCTGGGGGTCTGGAGACCGGACCAGGTAAGGATGGCAGTTTCCTTCCCTAAAGGGCATTAGTGAACCAGATGGGTTTTTCTGACAATCGACAATGGATTCACGGTCATCATTAGACTCTTAATTCCAGATATTTTTATTGAATTCAAATTCCACCATCTGCCGTGTCGGGATTTGAACCTGGGTGCCCAGAACATTATCTGGGTCTCTGGATTAACAGTCCAGCGATAATACCGCTAAGCCATCGCCTCCTCATTTATTGCCCGTCCCTAGTTGTCCTTGAGAAAGTGGTGGGGAGCTGCCTTCTTGAACCGCTGCAGTCCATGTGCTGTAGGTTGACCCACAGTGCCCTTAGGGAGGGAATTCTAGGATTTTGACCCAGTGACAGTGAAGGAACAGTGATATATTTCCAAGTCAGTCCTTGAGGACCTTCTCCCAATTACTCCATGTGTGGTCTCACATATCCTTTTGCTAAGCAGATATTTTATCCAGAGATAGTAGGAACTGCAGATGCTGGAGAATCCGAGACAACAAGGTGCAGAGCTGGATGAACACAGCAGGCCAAGCAGCATCATAGGAGCAGAAAGGCTGACGTTTCGGGCCTAGACCCTTCATCAGAAAAGATATTTTATCCACCTCAGATTTAAGATTAACAACTGATCCAGCATCCACTGCCAAATGTGAAAGAAAGTTCCAAACATCTACTACCCTTTAGGTGCTTCCTAATATCTCTCCTGAACGGTCTGGCCCTAATCCTCAGATTATGCTTTCTAGTTCTAGAATCTCCAACCAGTGCGGCACAGTGGTTCGGTGGTTAGCACTGCTGCCTCATGGCACCAGGGACCTGGGTTTGATCTCACCCTCGATGCAACTGTCTGTGTGGAGATTGCATGTTCTCCCCGTGTCTGCATGGGTTTCCTCCTACCAGTCCAAAGATGTGCAGGTTAGGGTGGATTGGCCACGCTCAATTGCCCAAGGGATGTGCAGGCTAGGGAAATGCAGGGTTACAGGGATAGGGTAGGGGAGTGGGTCTGGGTGGGATGCTCTTCAGAAGGTCAGGGTGGACTCAATGGGCTGAGTGGCCTGCTTCCACACTATAGAGATTTTATGTTTCAATGGAAATAGTTTATCTACCTTGTCTTTTCCTGTTAAGACTTGAAGACTTCGATCAGATCACCCGTTAACCTTCTAAATTCCAGATTTGCAGCCTAATTTATACAATCTCTCCTCATAACTTAAGCCCTGAAGTCTAAGTATCATTCTTGTAAACATTCATTGCATTCCCTTCAAGGCCAGTATGTCCTTCCTGAGGTGTGGTGCCCAGATTCTGCCCACAATACTCCAAATGGGGTCTAACCAGGGTTTTGTACAACTACGGCATGATTTCTGCTTCCTTGAACTCTAGTCCTCCAAATATAAAGGCCAGCATTCCATTAGCCTTCTTGATTATTTTCTGCACCTGTTTGTGGCATTTTAGAGATCTACGCATCAGAACCCTCAAGCCTCTTTGGATCTTCACTGTATTTAACTTCACACATTCTAGAAAGTACCCTGACATATCCTTTCTAGGTCCAAAATGGATAATGGATTCTGTTCCAGTTTTAATTTTAATGATCTGTGTTGACAATATTGAATTCTGTTCATCAAGTGCTTCCTACTTAGGAGTTAAAAGTAACAAAGAAAATGGGTGTTATGGACTAATTACCTAATTCTAGTAAACATATGTACAAAACGAGTGCAAATTTTTACCAAGAGCCTTAAAAGAGGGCAGCATGGTGGCTCAGTGATTACCACTGCTGCCAGGAACCCGGGTTCGATTCCAGCCTCAGGTGACTGCCTGTGTGGAGTTTGCACATTCTCCGCGTGTCTGCGTGGGATTCCTCCGGGTGCTCTGATTTCCTCCCACAGTCCAAAGATGCACAGGTTAGGGTGGATTGACCGGGCAACATTGCCCATAGAATCCAGGGATGGGCAGGTCATGTGGATTAGCCATGGGAAACACAAGGTTGACGTGGACTCAATTAGCCAAATGGCTTGCTTCCACACTGTAGGGATTCTGAAATGTATCAGCAGGTCTGAGGTCTCAGAGTTAACATTTTGAGTCCTGTTCTGCAGAAGGGTCATTGGATTCGAAACAGTAACTCTGTTTCTCTTTCCAAACATGCTGAGCTTTTCCAGGAATTTCTTTTTTTTCTGTGCTTCCAATCTCCAGCATCCATAGATTTTGGCTTTGTTAAAATGGATGGGTGTGATGCAATGGTAATGTCGCTCCCTCTGGGCGAGAGAGTCCAGGTTCAAGTGCCACCTGTGTCGAAGAGGTGGCGTGTCAAAACAGGTTGATATAAAAAGTTTTATTATTAAAAGTTATGTAAAGGAAAGTCACCCAGAAGCTTAGTGCGTGTTAAGGTGCTTAGATAGTTGACTGCAAAATCAACCTTGAGTCTGTCTAAAAGGATTTAACCATATTGTAACTGGTTCTGAATGTCACAAAAAATAGCTGTTAAGACCAGAAGATGTAGGAGCACAAGTAAGCCATCCAGCCTGTTGAATGGCCTCTGCCAACCAACAAGATCATGGCTGACCTGATCACCCTCAACTCCCACTTTCTTCCCTTTTCCCCCTAACCCTGGACTCCCTTCCTGATTAAAACTCTTCTCAGCCTCGATGACTCACCCTCGACAGCCCTCAGAAAGTCAAGAATTCCACAGATTCGCTGCCGCTGGGTCAAAATCCAGGAATTCCCTCCCTAATGGCATTGCGGGTCTACCCACAGCGGGTGGACTACAGCGGCTCAAGAAGTGACCTCACCGCCTCAGTTCCCCGAGGGGCAACCAGGGACGGGCAATAAACACCCACATCCCAGGGGGTTGGAGTATAGAGTAGGGAAGTCTTATTGCAACTGTACAAGGTGTTGATGAGACCACGTCTGGAGTTCTGTGAGTAGTTTTGGTCCCCTTATTTATGGGAAGGTATAATTTCATTGGAGGCAGTTCAGAGAAGGTTGATAGGGATCATCCGTGGTTTGGAGGGAGTGCGTTATGACCAAAGGCTAAACAGGTTGGGACTCTACTCACTGGGGTTTAGCAGAATGAGAGGTGGTCTAATTGAGGATTCTGAAGGGGCCTGACAGGGTCAATGCTGAGAGGGTGTTTCCCCCTCACAGGAGAGTCTAGGACCAGAGGGCACAGTCTCAGAATAAAGGGGGCACCAATTTGAGACTGAGATGAGGAGGAAGACATTCCTCAGAGGGTTGAGAATCTTTGGACCGCCTTGCCACTGAGTTGGAGGCGGGGGAGGGGGGCGCGCAGAGTCCTTGTGAATATTTAAGGCTGAGATCCATAGGTTCTTGATCAGTCAGGGAGTCCAACCTAATGGGGAAATAGGGCAGGAAAGCGGACGTGAGGGAATGTTGGATCTTCTTGAATGGCGGAGCAGGCTGGAGGGGCCGAACGGCCTCTCACTACTGTTCCTTACAGTCAAACCCCTGCCACCTGCAACAGATTTGCCTACAGGGAAATCCACAGACCACATTTTTGCCGTTCGCCGAGCCTCGGTGTCCCCTTTGTAATTGCTTGCTTCCGATTACCCTACGCACAAAGATGCCTCTTTCTTTGTGCTGGGGATTAGATTTGAATAAGAGTCTTTCCGTGCCCCTTTTTTCCTGAATGAATGTTTCGGATGGTTGAGGCCAGCGTTAGCCACATCCTGCCAATTTGAATACCTGGCCACAAACTCAACTCTCTCCCCTCCCTCCCTCCCCCCCTCCCTCCCTCTCTCTCACCCTGCTGCCATTCCTGAATCAAACTTCAGATCAGATTGAGAATGACCCTTGTACTGCATCACCCCAAAGTTATTTGCAGGCTCTCAATCGGGTATTTTATAGCCAGGTTTCCGGATGTAAATACCATCTGTAAACATTCCCCTAGATTAGTCACTTCCTCACGAAATTCAAAACTCTGTCAATAATTAGCCCCAAGGGTTAACCCTATCGTAATCCCCGCAAATGGGGAACCGAGCACAGACAAGGCACAGCCCGACCTTGAGATCCATCCCACCTCCCACCGCCGTCTCTTGTCACCCAGGGATCCCCAGAAGAAGACCCCGTCAATGTTCACTATCACCAACCCAGGTAGCCACCCCGCCCCACCAACGACCAAGACGCGGTTGGAGGTGCAGCTATTCAACTACAGAGGCCGGCGCAGCCGCCTGCTAACACCCCCTCCTTCACTGAGCACACCCCCCCAACCTGCCCACCGCTTCGGTCCCAGTGCGAAGCGGAGGCAGAAGGGGCAAAGCCCTGACTCCTGCGCCCCTGACCATGGGGAGGCACACCCTCTTTGGCTGGATCCTCTCGGAACTCCTCACCAAATATATGGGGGAAAGCAGTGTCTCTGTCACCGCCTGCAACCCCCTACACCCCCCCCCTCCCTATCTCTGTCACCTCCTGCAACTCCCTATACCCCCACTCCCTATCTCTGTCACATCCTGCAACCCC